GTTGATGACACTCTCATATGCTCTCCTTATGAAAAAAAAAGCTGAACACAACGCGGCTTAAAACATGCTAGAACTGAAACTTCAGCAGACACAATGCAATGAGAAGATAAAAAGTTCACTTGAAAATGTTAGGTCTCACAACACAGACCTGAAGTTTCAAAAGAATAGCAGTGTGGCAGTACAAAGAAAAAAGACTGTTGAGATGTTTGGATGGTTTCAAGGTGGTTTGAACAACATTCAGCATCCTTGCACTGCCTTAGGTGAGAGAGGGTGATGCTGTGTGTCAGGAAAATTCACATTTAATATGAAGAAAAGCAGAGGTACATAATTCAAAATAAAAAAAACAACTTTCATGACCCAGTGAAAGGCTAGAATCCCAGCTTGGGTGAAGGATACTCATACACTTGTTTATTTTTTTTTTCCTTGAATACAGTACATACTTCAAGGGTGGAAATAGGTGTTTACCTGGTGTAGAAAGGAGTATGTAAAGGCTTTGAATCAGGAGCTCTTTTGTTCTGCCCTACTTCCCTTGCCAGCTGCCCTTAATACTTATGCTTACACTCCTATTTGTCTATCCCACATACCTGCTGGGAGTGCCCTCCCTTGGCAGGGAGAATCTCCCAGCCTCAGAGATGGGTTGCACAACATCTGACCATAAATCAGCATCAAATCTGGGATTACTGCGTGTGTTTCTGTTCTCCTTGCCTCATGCATTGTGAAGGCACAACACAATGACAGCTCACATTTGGCTGTGGCTGTGGTACAAAGACTCAGGCTGAAGGCTGGATCCACAAAGGCCTTTCAGGGCTGGAAGGGATGGTCACATCTCTAAGTGCAAAGTGAAGATTTTGAATGCTTCCTTGCAACTGTCCCCTAAGGCTGGTTTCCATACAGACTTGCATTTCCAGAACCAAGGTTCCCTATTAAATCCAGAAATTGCAGAAAAGATCCCCTTCAGATTCCCCAAGGGGAAAACCCATGGAAGGAAACAGCATCAAAGGTGTTGTCAGGATGAAGATAGATATAAAGAGAACTGGACAAGGTGTAAATCTGGCTCTACCAAGGAAACAATGTTATCAGAGTAAATGAAGGGGAAACAAAAGGACTTATCAACCTCAAGTTATGTTTTCGGTAAAAACAAAAGGAACAAACCCACATCTTGGCAGGAGTGACTTCACAATGTATTGTTTACCATGAACTCATTAGGTCTACATCTGCCATATTAGTTAACTCTGCATGTTGTCACAGGCACTGGTAATGAGTCAAAGACTTTTGCCATTGCTTTTGCCTGGGAGCTCCGGTAAATAGAGCTCACTCGTTTACTTTATTTAGATACAAGTCTGCGCTCTAGTTCCCCCTGCCCTGCTTTACTCTCCGCCCACATCCAGTGTGTGTACATAAAGACATGCCAGAGAAGCCAAGTCCCTTGTGGGCCACAGCACATTAACTCTTTTCCGTTTTGTGGAGACGATTACTTTGAATGCTGCTGAGCTGGGCAGGCAGGCTGGGCTGGTAGAAACCTCTTTCTCTGCATGTCCCTGCTCTGGTTTAGAAAACTCTGGAAGAAGCAAGTCCATATGTTTTAGGGCCAGAGTTGCTCCTTGCACCCAAGCTGAGTGAGCATCTCAAATACTAGCTTATGCCACTATGTGTGCACAGTGCCCAGTAGCTGGACTGCTGCTGCTTGAAAGCACCTGAACTGCTGCAGACCCCTCCCGGAGACCCCTGGTGCCCTCCTTCCCAGCAGTCCCCATCTCCTCCAGACTGTCCCATATGTTATTTGTTCTGCAAGCAAAACATGACACAGTGCATGAAAAAAGTCAGAGCAAACAAATCACTTTACTCCCTGAGATTCCCTATATGGAAAGCAGGAATAAACTTTTCTTGGAAGGATGTATTATCTTGGGAGGAGTAGTTACTGGGAAGTGACAAGTGTTAGTGTTTGCCTACTACCATCATGAAAGCCCAGTGGATTGTGGTTGTAGAACAAGATCCATTAGCCTTTGTTTAGAATGAATGAATGTACAACCTCACTCAGTTTGCAGCATCCCATGCTATACTGGCTATCCCATGATGAGCTGCACACCCCTGCAAATTCTTCATCCTTATTACAATTCTTCCAATCTAAAAAAAATTAGTCAAAAACATCTATTAATATTTATAAATCACATGTTTTCTAAACAGATAGTCATATGCCCTGATTTTCTTTAAAATACTTCAATCTCAAGTCAGGTTGTTGGTCCTTAAATAATGAACAGTTGTTATCAACTATTCCATGTTATGGACTCACCTCACCAGCTCCTCTGAAACGACTGTATTCTTCCTTCCTAGGAGGTGCAAGGAAAGAATCGGACAGACTAAGCTACAACCTTTAACTGAGCAATATGTGGAACGGTCCCTCCTGTGGAAGGATCATTACAGTAGGAACACACAGCCTGGGAGGTTCCTGCAGGGCACTGTTGATAACTTTTGGACATGGGTGGTGGAAGAGTCATTAAGGATCTGTGCTGCTGGACCTTGAACTAAGACAGAAGGACTGGTTTGGGATATGAGAGCTGGGAGTAGTCTTGGTTGTAGTGACCATGAGATGGTGGAGTAGAGGATCCTGTGTGGAAGAAGCAGGACAGTATTCTATTACACCTTGAAAATATGATTCTGTGACTTCAGAGTTTTGTAGAAAACAGCAGAAATGCATTTCTGCTTGCTTTTTTTTTTTGAATATTTAACAGCCCTGTTGTGCTCTGAGTTCTCCTAGAAAAGGGAGCCTCACAGGGAAACTTCAATCCTCTGAGAACAAATTCTGACCCCCTAACAAGTACAACCATAAAATAGCTCCACAGAGACCAACCCCGTGGCATCCGCTTACTAAAGAACAGCAGAAGCCAATTCACCTCAGAAACAGTTGTGAAGTGATTGTGTGTCCTTTTATCTCTCTCTGTGGTACAAATTAAAATGTGTACTCATCAGGGTGAATACTTTGTAGATTAATAGAGACCTTAAATATTGAAAGATAACCTGAGTGAAAGTCAGGGTGACCAAATTACCTCATTTATCTCAAATTTTTAAGAAAACAGGTGTTTTTCCTTAATTTCTGCATTTCACTTGTATGTTGCTTTCTAAGAAGAAACAAAGGCCTACTCTTCTCACTAAATGCATAGGTCCATATAAGATGTGCCTGTGAACTAACCTTTTACTGCCACTGGTCATGAAATGGCAAGTTTTCCATTATTCAGAAAAGAAATTACATCTTTAATTCCATATTTTAACAGAAAATGGTGGTAATATCTCAATTATTTTTGTAGATGAATGAGCCACTGGAGATTTCAGCATTCTTTGCTGCATTACAGATTGCTTGTTTTGCTGGAGTAACCATAATAGAGAAACGCAACACTGCCTGTGCTGTGTGGCCAAATATGTATATCCCACTGAGAAGTGATACATGACTAGCATCAGCTGTGTCAGTGGAGCTTATACAGCAAGATTTATGTTTCTTACTGGAGAACTTGCTATAAATATAGCTATAACCACCTACTCATGTTTTGTCTTAAGAATTTATTCACTAATTTTTACAGTCAAGGCTACAGGTAACTGCTAAGAGGTTAGAGATCTTTTGAGTAGATTACCCTCATATAGATACAATTCACAAAATCCAGGATCAGCTGTAGCTCTGTATCACAAATCAGAGCAGCCTTCTTTAGCAGCTGAAGTGCTGGCTGTGGATATTCCAAATTGCAATGCATTGCAATGCTTGTTTGATTTGTACCCAAGACAAAATGAACCTGTTCAGCAGCCAGGTAATTATTAAGTGCCTGCCATAGAAAATGCTATTGGATTGGTTGCATCAACTAGAGCATACCACTTCAAGCCTCAAAGAAAGAGCTCATTCTTCTTTCAGAAAATTCTTTTTATTGGTAATGTCTGCTAATGTTTTACTGTTTCTGCATTCTGAGTTCATTCAAGCCTTAGTAACATGTAGCTTCCCCTAGCTGTTCTTCTTGTCAGCCTTGCCCTCTGGCTCTCCTGCTCATGTTAAACTTCTCATCCATTTATTCCGTGTACATGGCTCAGTAAGGTGTGTGCATGAAATGTACATCACGTTGTACTGATGTGCATTATCCCAGCTTTCCATATGGCTTGTGGCACAAATGGCACATGGGACAGACTTCTGCTGTGGACTGACCAAGAGATGATCAAAGTGGGTCATAGAAACATAGACTCACAGGATGGTTTGAGTTGGAAGAACTGAAAGTTCTTCTATTCCCATGCCCTGCTTTGGGCAGGGACACCTTCCACTGGACCAGGTTGCTCAAAGCGCAAAGTGGGTCATAGAAATATATAAACTCACAGGATGGTTTGGGTTGGAAGAACTGAAAGTTCTTCTAGTTCCCATGCCCTGCTTTGGGCAGGGACACCTTCCACTGGACCAGGTTGCTCAAAGCCCGATGCAGCCTGGCCTTGAACACTTCCAGGGATGCATCCACATCTTCTCTGGCCAACTTCTCAGAAGCATCTGTCCACAGGAGCCACAGGTCATCAGAATCATTCGATCATTAGAAACCGGTGGCAGCAGCAGTCTAGGAGATCTGTTTCCTTGGCTCGAGAGGAGGGAACGAGGCAGAAAGCTGCTCTCCACATAGTGTATTTCACTTGCTTGCTAAGTTTTCCCTCACGCCGTTGGCATCAAAGGGACAACGCGGAGCTGGCAGCCCCGCAGGGCGCTCGGTTGAGCTGATGGCGCTGTGTGTGTCGGTGCTTCCCGGCGGCCGGAGAGCGCAGCGAGCCCCGAGCAGCAGGTGACAGCCCTCATTTGGCAGGGGGAGCGGAGGCAGGGAGGAGCGCTGGGCTCCCCGGAGCGCTGGGCTCGGGCAGCCGGGGCCGCTGGCGGCGGCTGCAGGCCAGGTGAGCCCCGGGATGGCTCCGCGGCCAGAGCGAGCCGCTCCCCGCCCCGACACCTGCGCGGCGCCGCCCCGCAGCACCCGGGGCCAGGCGGGGCCCCGCCGCCGCCCTTAAAGCCCGGCCGCCCCCGGCAGCTTCCTCCCTTCTTTCCCTGCCTTCCCGCTGCCTTTCAGCCCCGAGCGCTCCGGCGGGACCGCGCCGGCGACATGGGTAGGTGTGGCGGTGCGGGATGGGGCAGCCCGGAGCGGGTGGCGGGCTGGCGGTGCCCGGCCCGCGGCAGGGATGCCGCCCCGGGATGAGCATCCCTCCAGCCGCTCCACCCGAGCCGGGTGATCGTGCCGGGCTGCGAGCTGACGGCGTGGCCAAGGGTCTCGCCCGCCCAGGGCTGTCTCTGCTGCTCGGTGTCGGTCTGAGGAAGTTCCCGGCTACTCTTGGGTCTCTCCCTCTTCCTCCGGGGCAACTCTCCCTCTGCCAACGCTGTATCCTGGTTTGTACGACCCTGCCTTGAAACCCGAGTGAGAGCCGAGAGATGGTGCCTCGGTCTCTCTGTGAGCTCTGAGAGTTGAGCCGCTGGCCGGTAAGGCTTTCCTACACTACACTTCTAAGGCATGTGGAGCTTGAGATCTGAGCACAAGTTAAATATGGTGTTCCTTGCAGATGTTATATAATGCTTTTTCATTGAGGGTGTTTGCCTAGGGTTGACCTAGTGCTTTTTAAATACATAGATACATAGCTGGAAGATTCATATAAGGGCAGAACCCATGTATCTAATTAATCCTGAAGATTTTTTTCCTGTCTAAACTGGAACACTGAGTAGTAGAGGTACAAATCCAACTTTTTTGTGATGTATCTCTCCATTGCCTTTTGTCTGGACTTTTGGTCCTGCAGTGTCTGAGTGCATTGGTGTCTCTCACAGCAAGCAGTTCCGGGGCTGGAGAAACCATGTCTCACTTAGGAAAGGAGCCTGAAACGCCCACCCTCCACCCCCCAAAAAAATGAACCTAAGAAAGTGCCATTGCATCTTCAGCAAGCAAATCTGTGTTGTGGGGACAAGCAACCATAGTGATGAGCAGGCAGGACATGTCAATGGTGCTGCCAGGGATCGTGCTGGCTTGGGCAGACAACAAGAAGAATGGAGATAGTACTCTGGAGAGAAAGAAATGGGATGCAGCTGTGTCTGCCCATTTAATATCAGGTTTGTGGCTTTATGGATTTGCTTAGATAGTTTCTGTGTGGGTGTTTTTCTGGAGTAGCAAGGTGTGAAGCAGGGGCTCCAGAAGGGGTATGTCCTGATGGTAGCAGCAACCTTGTGAAGGTGCTGTAGGGCTGCTCCGGGGAGCAGAGGCAATAGGCTTGTCTGTGCCCCAAGTCAGGTGTTAGGACTGTAGGCTTGCTCTGGAGCCAGAAGCATCCTGGGTGACAGCATGGTGCGTGCAGATTTACGGTGGCCATGGACAGAAGCATTTCATCTGGGCAGAGTTGCTGTGACGGCTGCATGGAACAATACAGTGTGCTCCCATCTTGTGTCACAGACTGTGAGCTGCAAGACCTGCAGCATCCACTGCATCTCTGTGACTGCAGGGAAGGAACCACCCTGGTGGGAGGGGGCTATAAGGCTGCCCCACCTGACCTGCAAGGTTGGGATGGAGAGAATGGCACACTGATCATTATTTAGATGTGGTGCTGAAACCAAGAACTGAGTGGCTGTTAACTTTCCATGTCTTAAAAAATATTAAAGGGAATACAAAGTGCACAACTGTTTAGAGCTTTATATTGAAAATTGTGGAGCTCTTTGGTATTTTGGTGTTATGAAAATGAGCAGTTCTGCGGGTCATTCTTTGTGGGGAAACAATAAGAGAGGCTGAAGGTTGCCCCAAAGAGGGACTGCTCCAACATGCCACTAGCAAACTTCAGATTTATTACTGAAAATGATGCAAGATGGTGGGTGCTCTGTGCTTTGTAGGTCAGACCCTGAAGCTGCCTGACAGTGGAGTCCTCAGTTTAGGTGCCTGTGTTGAAAGGTTGGCTTTAATTCTGTCTGGAGTTTCCCCAACCCTCTCTGCAAAATGAGAGTAGAGGGGTGAAGTAAAAATGTTTAGAAATAATTGTGTTTCTTAAACATTGAAGTCAGACAATGTTGTCTGAAAAAAATCGCCTCTGTGATGTCTTGTGGGTAAGGTTTCTTGCAGAGGTGATACTTTTGCCATCAGGAAAGCAGAAAAGACCTCAAACCCAACAAACAACCCAATCCTAAATTTTTTTTTTTTGCCCAAGGCATAGCTGCCCAATCTCTTTTTCTCTGTGCATGTTAAAAAAACTGTCAGTGTAATGCACATGTGCTGGGAAGGCCAACAAGTGGAAATAACCGAGGAACTGATAGGGAGATGGGCTTTTGGTGGCACCTTGGTGTCCTTGAATGTATCCTCTCTGGTGGGTTGTGGAAGGGACATTGCCAATAACTTCGATAACTCGTGTACCTGCAAATGCCCTGAATGGAGTGTGTTAGCACTTTCAGAATGTTGCTTGCTCTCTAGGAAAATATATTCTTGAATCATCTACATAGTACTACTGTCTCTGTTGTGAAGGTACTTGTCCACAGCAGTGAAGAAAAGAATTGGAATAATCTGTTTCAGTGATTTCTAAAGATTTAATTGATTTAATATTTTACCAAACGCTATAGTGTTGCTGTCAGCTGTTTTCATCTGTTGTGGACTATGGACTAAATAATGATTTTCACAAGCATACTTTTTAATGTATTATGGCCTTATAGATGTATTATGGCCTGACTTGATTTACAAGCAGGGATTTCAACGTTCACATCTTGTACTTGGTCTTATCTTAATGATAATGAGCTTGCTCATGTGGTTTTATGTAAAATGTTGGCATCCACTGTATGGGCACGGGGCCTTTATCTGACACAGTGAAAGCTCAGCCTCCAAGCCTGTCTGCTGAGCTGGGGAAGCCCTGCAGGGCTCTACTTGGAGTGCTGCCAGGGGTAGAGGACCTGCCAAGAGCAGCTGGAAGTGACTTCAGGGCTGCAAGCACCTCTCTGCTCTTGCTGCTCTCAGTGGGACCCCTCTGCTCTTTCAGGTCTTCCCAGGTTAAAGGTTCAGGTTATGAGAATGCCTGCTGAAGTGGATCACTCAGTTGGGCTTTATATTCAGTCCTCTGTAAGTCCCTTTCTGGGACTTGACCCATCCCTGGCAGGTCATCTCGAGCCTCTTCTTTAATCTTGACTTGCCTTTAAGGTAACATCCCCAAGAGTGAGTTGTTGCAGGACTCATCATCTGTGGGTGGCTGGTTTACCACCCCCTTGACTGATGTGTGGTGAGCAACCATGGGATGCTTTTCCTCATCAGTCCTTTTGAGCTTCTCCTGGGAGTTTATGCACACTCTAACAAACCAAAGGCTGTTGAGTGAAGCTTTGCCTAATAACTATGAAGTCTCCCTTTACTAAACTGAAAATTTACTCACCCTGACCAGTACTGTGTTTATATTTCAATATGTATTTAGAGTTGAACCTTTTTGGAATCTTCTACAGGTTTTTAAGGGAGTATTACTTATTAGTTGCTATTAACTTGTATTTTGGTTTTTTCCCTCCACAGGTGGAAAAACTACTGGCAAGTCGGTAAGTATTATTTTCCCTCATCAAAAGTTGCTCTACTGATTCTCTTTGGGTTACATTGTTTTGGTAATGTTACCAGTGCCCAAAAGAAAAATAACCCTATAAAAATACATTTAATACATACAGTAAAGACTTACTGGCAAGTGTGCAAAAGCAGCCTAGTAACTTATTAAATTCTAGCTAAGCATTAATTTGCTCAACACCCTGATAAAATGCTTGAAGATTCTTTGCTGACTGAGCAGATGTTGGTAGGGAGGAGATTGGTTCCTGGAGCCCATGCTTCTTGCAGCTGTGTTGAATCTTTGAACTGCACCTGCTCTTGAATCTTTGAACTGCTAATGACATGTGTCTCAGGAACCCTAACTCTGCCTTTGTATTTCTTATCTTGCAAGGTTTTTCCCCACAGACTTTTCCTCAGCAGCCCAAGTCAAAGCTGCAGCAGGGTGGTGGCATCCCCGGGGCAGGACGAGGTTATGCAGGGGATTATAAAACATAACCTTCAGGTTACCTTTTTGGTGGTGGATTTGGTGCTTCCTGACCAATGAGGGTAAAAATAGAAAAGGTTTTGATAGATGTGTGTATGGGCACATGAATACTGTAACAGAGGACAGTACAGTGCAAAACAAGGAAAAGCAGACATTATATATTAGCAAGGATAAATTGTATTGTCTCTTTTTCTTGTAGCAACTTGGAAAAACAGAAGGCCTGGGTCACCTGGGAAAGACCCAGAAGGTTTCTCTTACATACCCCTGTCCATGCTCAGCGCCAGCTGTGACATGCAGACCCCCTCCAGTTTGGGGGCAGCCACTAAAAACACACCAGTGGCTGCTGTGCCAGCTTGGGAATGCAGGACAGCTCCACCAGGCACAGATGCAGTGGTGGCTTGAATGAAAATTCTAGCCTTGCTGGATTGTGACCTCCCCAGACCAGCATGTAACCCCCTCCTAAAGAATAAGGTCTTGCGTTGGGTGATGTGCAAACATTGGAGAGGTTTGTGAGAACCCCAAGTGGTCAGAAGATTTTAGTGAGTTTTTGTGAAATGCAGGTGGAGATAGGTCCCACCAGTTCCTGGGCCAGGACTGCTCTGTCTTTCTTTTCCTCTGTAGGCAAGAAAAGACATGGGAGGTCTTTGTTCTGCTTCAGGAACAGACATTCCCTCCTCTCCACCTGGGCTATTCCCAATTAAAAGTCATGCAGCCAGGATTACTGTTTCAGTCACCAACTTAACATGTGCTGAACCAGAACTTCAGTGTGTGACTCTCCATCCCGTGACCATTTGCATGGCTTAGGGGAATGCTTTGTGGATGGGGCATAAGGCATTCTTCTGTGTGAATTCCAGCCCACCAACACCTGTGTCCAAGGTGGGTGTAGTTGTCCAAGCCTCCTGCTGCCTTCAGCTGAAGGAAATGGGCAAGCTCAAGTGAATTTTATCTAATTCTGGGATACATGTGAATGATCTTCCTTTGGAGACACCTCTTTCTGCCCATGGAGGATGTGATAAGTCAAGACTGACAAATTTATATTTAGGGCTCAAAATTTTTGTTCTTTAAAGCTAGAGGAGTCCCACCTGGCACTTGCCCTCAGCTGAGTTTGGGTTCTTGCTGTGAGGCCTGCTTATCATGGGTAAGATATGCAGCATCTACTTGGTTCTGCAAACAATGAAGGTCAATGCTGTTCATGCTGCTCAGGCATCCTCACAAACTGAGTCAGATCAGACAACAATGCTCCTGCCACTCTCTTATTTTCATTTCTTTTGCAGGATTCAAAAAAAAAAGCTTCTTGTCTCCAAGCCTGCAAGTCTCCAAGTGTTGTGTTGTTTGTTGAGACTTTGCTGGAGACAGTGGCTTGCAATTTACTTGTGTCAGGCATGATTTCCCTGTCTCAGGTTTTTTTCCTTTTGATTTGTAAAGTTAACTTCTTCCTGTTTCACACAAAATAAAGATTAGTTGAATTCCTAAACCTTCACAATCCAAACAGTGCCATTTTTAATTAAAGTTTAGCATGGAGAAGAACTGTTTTGCCTCTGGAATGTTCTGAAATGTCTTTAAAATCTGATTCTTTGATACAAAAAAAAAAAGATTAAAAGGTAGGATTATGTGTAAATGGCATCCCTACTATTTTTAATAGAAATTATATCATATATTCATCCGCTCCATGAAGACTGGTAGGAGATCAGAAATTAAAGTTGCAGTTCCTAGTGACCATGTGAGATTTGTACCTGATGCATGCTTTTGAACCATTGTCTCAATGGCAAGAACTGCATGATGATGACCATGGACATGGCTGTTGCAGCAGGTGAAGGCTCAGTGAACCTGGCAGCCAAAGCCATGCCAATTTAGGTTAGAAATAAAGACCGTTCTGTTATCAGGTCTGAAGAAATGAAAGATTCATCATCAAGCAGAGTATTTTTAAGGATAAGAAGATTTCCTGAGGTATTTCCTTGAATGAAAAGTGTTAATGTTTATTTGTTTTAATTACAGGTGCTTAAAAATAGCCCCGAGTTTCTAACTGGTGTAGTGCAGCAGTTTGGTGCATTTTTGGTTGGCCTTGGGTTTTTTCCAGAAACATTGGCTTTTTGCATATTTTTGGATACCAGTCAAGATTGCTGTAAGGGTTAGGTGCTGGAGACCTCAAATGTACATAGTGGAACACTTGCAGGTCATTCCCAGCATTGCTAAAGGTCTCTTGCAAAGGGCAGATGAGAGGTGTGCAGACCTCTTGGGACCAAGAGAGGAAAGTGAAAACTGACTCTTGGTTCAGGTAAACCACTGTCATCCCACAGAAGCCTGTGCAGGGTACAGACCCTGAGTACCTACCCACTCCTACTGGGTCCATGTTGAGCTTGCTTGAGTGTGGGTTGCAGTGAAGTGTGTTAGTCTGGGTTGCACTGCTCTGAGCTCACATTGTCTCTTGCCTCCAGGTGCTCTGCTTTGGCTTCCCTTTGAGCATTTTCTTCATCGTCATCAATGAGTTCTGCGAGCGGTTCTCCTACTATGGCATGAAAGGTACGTCCCTTGTCTCCTTGTGCTAAGCATTACCCAGTGCTGACTTGGGTTTGTAACCTGTTGTTTTGTTGTTCTTCCTACAGCTGTGCTCACTTTGTATTTCTCACGTTTCCTACACTGGGAAGACAACTTTGCCACTGCCATCTACCATACGTTTGTTGCTCTGTGTTACTTGACGCCAATCCTTGGAGCAATCATTGCGGACTCTTGGCTGGGAAAGTTTAGGTGAGTGATTCCTCAGAAAGCAGCCAAAGATCTTGAAAGCTCACCTGAAACCAGTGTTACTTAAACTATCGCCTAAAACTGCAGCTCTGAGCAACAGCTTCAGAGCTGGTGTTGACTGCTCCAGGATAGTTTGCTTTTATTTCACCAAAGCTTGAGATTTTCATTGATTCAGCTCAGACTTGAAACTGAACTGTGAATTTACAAATGTTCCATTTCTGCTAGTTGGTTAAGGGTGGTAGCATGCTTTCTGAGCATGCTGCATGTTTTTGCTCTCACCTGGGCAAAATGTAAGCAAAACTAAGAAGAGTGTTCACCAAGTTTTGAAAATAGATACCGGAGGCTGTAATAACATAGGCAGTCTCTTTACCTGTTGCAAGGTGGCCAATGAAATAGTGAATTACTGTGTTGTCTGGTGTTAACTGGGCCTTAAAATAAGTTTTAAAATAGTGTGTGATTTCAGAATTGACAGGTCAGTGAAGGGTCTTCTGAATAGCAGTTCTTTCCCTAAATGATGTTTTTTGTGTCTTTAGCTGCAGGCTAGTTGGTCAGGATAGTACCAGTGCAGTGCTTTGAAATGTAACCAAGTTATTTCCAACAGCTTTATCTCCCTCTCCTTTCCTGATGTTTTGATTCTAAAAGTGTTTACTTTGCCTGAGAAAAAGCACAGTAAAGATTTTATGGAGGGTTATGAGCCAATAATGTAAGTGGACTTGCCAAAGGTCTCCCAGAGATTAGAGATGTGCTGTGCAGTCAGCTGCACTGTCTCCTTCTGCTGTAGGGACAGCCCCTGGGAGCCCAGGGCTGTGACCACAGCCCTGTGTGCCCTGTGCAGCTGCTCTGAGCACTGCAAACTCACTGCAACTAGCTGGATGTCTTACAGATTGCAACCTAAATATATTGTGCACTTGCTTGTCTAGATGCTGTGGTTTGTTTTTAAAATTTTTTTTGGCTTTTTCATGTTTTATCAAGATGAAACTTTGCAGATCTTGCATGTCTTCTCCTTTGGTACTTGGATATGCCAGTGCCGCAAATGAAAGGCCCAGACCTTTAACAGAAGCTTGTTAGGATGGCCTAAACAAGAGAAAACATGCTTTAGGATATACCATTAGGCTTTACCACCCACAAATGCAGCAAGGTGTCATAAGGAAGGCTTAAACGAGAAATTTAAAAAATCTGTGATGTCAAGAGGAAGAGGAGATAACCTAGGCACTGTTAAGCACTCTTAAAGGAGTGACTCCAACCTTCCACAGTCCATGTACTTGGTGTAATGTCTGTCAAGAAATGTGATGGGACCTGCTCACATAATGTTGGATGTGAATTTCTTGAGGAAAATAGTACAGAAACCACAGTAATATTTTAATTGTGCACCATCAATGCAGTGCCAATTAAGTAAGTCTTTGCAGTGGGTTTATAAGCCTCACAAATAAAACTCAGAAGTTTCACTCCTGATCAGCTCAGGTTCTACTTTAATTGGAGACTTTTTCCCAGGTTGCTAGGTAAATAAAGTAACTTTATGGAAGTGCTATTAAAAAAACCAACCCATTCAACTGTGTCTATTAAATACCACTAAACAGCAGACTGTATGTTGCCCAACTTGAGAGATTTTTTTTTTACTACATTACAGGCAATGGTAATTTTAAGTCCAAGAAACCTTGTTTTAAAGTGAGGGGAACTTGGTCAATGTCCCTCTTGTGTCAGGGCACTGCTCCACGCTTGCTGCGAGGATCTCTTGCCTGTGTCAAATAAGTGGATTGTTCTTGGTCTTTGAGCATTGTCCTGCATTCTCCTGCCTAGTACTTGGTTTGGGACTACTCCTGAAAACAGGGTTTTCAATATTTTCACATCATTGCATAGTTTTCCTCCTGCTTTTCCTCCAAACTGGAGCCCTGTGTCTGTGCCTGTTGAATGGAGACCCACCCAAGGACACAAGTGAACATGGGTTAAACTTCAGCTATGTACTTCAGGTCCAACAAAGTGCAAGTGGAACATGCTTTTGCTTACAGAAAAGAGGATTGGACACCCAAGCCAGGGTGGGAGGGCTGGTGGTTATGCAGTACTATCATCCTAGGCACCTCCTGGCCAAGGTAGTCAGGCTGAAAGGCTGCAGTCTGGACTCTTCAGTGCAGCTCTCACTCATATCTGAGTGTAAAAATGTTGGTACACTTACAGCAAAGAAGGTGGGCTGAAAGGCTGCAGCCTGGACTCTTCATGAGTGCGGTTCTCACTCATATCTGAGTGTAAAAATGTTGGTACACTTACAGCAAAGAAGGTGGGGGTATAGAGTTGTTGTTCACACCAGTATTTCAGGGGCATTTCCATGTTTGAAGCAGATTTTTGATTTTTCTTTTTTCTTTACTCCTGCAACTAAAATCTAAAATAACATAGTGAATGTTTAATGATACTTAAATCAGTGCAAATTGCAGATTTTAGTGTTGGAGAGTAGTTGGAGAAATTTGATCTTTGGCATATAAAAATATGAAAATGGCATTCTTGAATTGGTCATTAAAAAGGCAACCACTGAAGATATTGTGACCTAGTGATATCTATAAGAATCCATTTGTTGTCATGCCTTAATTAAAGACTACCTTAATTAATTAAAAGTTACCTAGAATAATAATAATAAAAAGAATATAAATACTGTGGCAATGGCATGTGGCCAGATTTTTATAGTAGCTTCTGACAAGTTCAGTCCATAACTTATTGTATCTGTTAGTTTTTTTCATTACCAGGATTCTTTAAAGTAAGCAGAAGTCTGCATTAGCTGTGTAATTGTGTCTGTGTTAACATATTTAAGAAAATGTATTGCCTCTCTTGACAACAGGACCATTCTCTACCTGTCCATTGTTTATGCAATTGGGCAGGCAGTGCTCTCTGTGGGCTCCATAAATGACCTGACAGATCACAACCAAGATGGCTTTCCCGATGCTATCGCAGTGAACATGTGAGTTGCCTTGTACACATTTTTTGTCCCAGGCGGATGAAACATGGGACAACTTAAGTTTGTTACTTGAATTTCAACTGTCTTTCAACCAATCTATTATGTATGCTGTAAGAACTAACACAGATTTTTGTTTTCTCCTTTGTTCCAGTGCTTTGTCCATTGTTGGCTTGATCCTTATTGCCTTGGGTACTGGTGGGATCAAACCGTGTGTGTCAGCATTTGGTGGAGATCAGTTTGAAGATGATCAGGTAACAATGTCTTTCAGATTTTCAGTTATACAGATACTCTAATGTATAACTGTTATAGTACTCTAATAATATGCATGTTTAGATGGATGCATTACTGCAGGGTTTTCCTGAGGAGCTGAAGAAGGAGCTAGTTAATTATTTGTCTTGAACTTTGAAAATAGAGGTGCTGGTTTTTTGATCTAGGCTCATCAATGTGGTTGTGGCTAAGCCTTTCTAGACATCTTTCTTTTTTTACTGTAGGAAAAGCAAAGAGGTACCTTCTTCTCTCTCTTTTATTTGTCCATTAATGCTGGAAGTCTCTTATCTACTTTAATCACTCCAACTATCAGAGGTAAGACGACATGTTTGTTGACAATTGTTAAACACCAGAAAAGGCATGTTGGATTGCAGTCCAGTCTGGTTTAAATTAAAGTTCTGTTCTCTGATACACTGGAGTTATCTAGCAAATAGTCTTCAGTGTGTCATCCAGCTTCTCAGAGATGATGTACTCTCAAAAACAAGCCAGTTGAAGATCTTCATTGCCTTTAGGGTCAGAAGTACTAGATCTGAAAAAACATGCTGGAGCTAGCATCTTGTATGCCTAATGCATATTTTAATTCCACTAAAGTACAAATGTGTCACAACAAAATACAAATGAAATACAAATCTTGCAACACCTTTAAAATTATCACACTAGAAAGAATTGTATTGCTTCCTGGGGGAAAGGAAGGGGAGAGAGAGCCTTTTCCTCTGGAAATGTGCCCATGCTAAGTACAGAAGCATCTCTGCATGTAGGAGGATATTAATACATGTGACAAGGTAAATAATTTTTCATATTGTTAAATAAGAAAGTGATGTTCTCTTTTGCTTGTGAAGAATAGCATGATCCTAAACAAAAGTGAGCAATTTGCTAACCTATATGCATCTGGATTTCTGTGGCAAGCTTGCACAGATGGTGCTGTATGGATGCACTTGCCAGCAGTTTCAGAAGGCTGCTTTTCTCAAAAGCAAGGAAACAGCATGTGAATTCTGTAATAACCCAAAAGCACCAGGCTGAACTTCTGGCCTTGGGATTTCTTGACTGGAAAAGACCCTGTAGAAGAGTTTTGGATGTTTGCTTGAAGCAAATTCTCTCCTTTCCCAAAAAAGGAAGTAGAGATGCATAAGGCATAGCATGTAGATTACTTCCTTGCTGTTACAGGGTGAAAAATTCCTTGGAAAAAAATTACAAGTTGAGTCAAGGGAAGTGATAACCTGTTTCAGCCTGGAAAGATTTGACCACAAGACTAATACAACTAAATCAAGACATTCATTATCTGCAAGCTAACATTTTTTTCCAAATCATACTCTCTAATTTTCCTCTTAGAAGAAGTATAGTGGAGAATGTAATGATTTTGTTTAGTCTTTTAGTTTATACTGCTGAAGTCAGTAAGAGTCAAATCTGTGACTAATGCCAAGGAGGGGAGGGGGCTGGTGATTGTGATTTTGTTTTTGATTTCAACAAGCTACACTTACATCACTAGAATCTTTGTTAATGAACTTAGCCCAAAACTTTTGTAATCTAGTTTCTTTCTCACTAAGGACATGCTTTTGACCCCTCTGGTGTAATTCTTCATGTCTCAGTGTAAAACTAGATGTAAATTTCCTGTGAGGAGATCCTGAGAGGCATTAGGCTGTTTGGCCTGGACAAGAGAAGGCAAAGAGGGAGTTTTGTTAAAGTATAAAAATAGCTGATGGGAAGTGAAGAGGATGGAGACAGGCTTTCCTCAGTGGTACCCAGTGTCAGGTCAAGGGGCAATGGGCACAAGCTGAAATACAGGAGGTTCCCTCTGAATATTAGGAAATGCTTTTTCACTCTGAGGGTGATCAACAGTTGGCACAAGCTGCCAGAGAGGTTGTGGAGTCTCCATCCGTGGAAATACTCAAAAGCCATCTGGACACAGTCCCAGACAATTGCTTCCAGGTAGCCCTAGTTGAGCAGGGTGCTTGGCCCAGATGATGCCCAGAGGTCCCTTCCAACCTGAATGATTCTGTGACACATAAATCCCCTTTCCAATAACGAGAGATAAGTTGGATACTGATCCTCTGAGGATGTCAGTAGACTGATTTGCTGTTCCCCTGTGAGTTTTCAGTTAATGCAAAGAACAGAAACCATATTTAAAACATCAGCAGTGCTGACTGGGATTTTTATTTGATGTTATTTTTGTTTCAGCTTCACAGTGTGGCATTCATAGCAAACAGGAATGTTACCCGCTTGCTTTTGGAGTTCCTGCTATCCTCATGGCTGTTGCCTTGGGTAGGTGATCCTCTTGCTGTCCTGTTGCCTTGGTAATTAGATTATAACAATCTCAGAATAATGCAAGTGTGATAGAAATCCACTGGTATTGACCACTACCAGTACCTGATAATTTCTGCTATTTTTGACTTAATTTTTTTTCCTGCATGGGATTAATCTGAAGTACTCACTTTCATAGCAGAGTCTGATTTGCCAGGAGGGTTGGATGGGGTTGGGCTGAGGCACGAATATATCCTTGAATTCTGTACGTTATGTAAACTACTGGGTATGTTTCTTGGATTACTGGTGTGTACAAATTGATCTTTTGAATGCAGGGTGAGAACTCTCAAAAAATGTGTGTTTTGGACATTATCTCTAGTCCAGGATTATAAACTGTGTGAGGCAATTGTCTCTGAGCTGGAGAAATCCTGTATTTGATATGTCAGTACTTCTCAAACACCTGCATTTTTACCCTCTGAGCCTTACTGCTGACCAAGTAACTGGGGGTGCCATTATATACTGCAGCATCCCTTGTGCCCCTTGTCCTTCATGGTCCTGACTGGGAGCCCACCTGCCTTGCAGTGACCTTGCCTTGCCCGTGAGCCCAGCCCAGGCTGTGGGGGTTTGCCTGTGTCCTGCCCTGCGTGTGGGATGATGAGGCTGAGCAACATGCCTGGGAGCAGAGGACACCTTGGCCAGTCCTGCAGCTCAGGCAGAGCCTTGTGTGTCCCTGCATGATGTGAGCTGCAGCATTGTGAGCTCCTGAAAAGGAGCCCCTACAGCAAGGCCAGAGTCAAGGTCCTAAATGCCCTTGTTTTGACCATCCCTCAGTTGAGCAAACCTCCCACTGAGCACTTGCTGTAAGAGTTGCCAGATTTATTTTTTGTCTTGAATAGAAGCAATCTGCTGGTATTAATTTGATTTGTCTTACTGTATCATAGGATGTGGATAGGCAATTGCATTGCTTCTTGGGAGGCTTATTCCCACCCTGATTACCTCCTTGACTTGCAGTTTCCATACCAAATTATTTGCCACTATTTTAATTTAATCCTGAGTTGCTTTTCTGTTTGCATATTGTAGTTGTGTTCGTAATTGGAAGCAAAATGTACAAGAAAGTTAAACCACAAGGAAACGTAATGCTTGAAGTTTTCAAATGTGTTAGAGTAAGTACTGCTTACATTTCCCAAACCCCTGGCAGCCATTCCCAAAGCTGTTCTGTATATGTGCCTAAATCAGAAATCTGTCTTAATATGAGGAAAGTTTCTGAAGTTTTTTGCTTTATCACAGAAGGCTTCTTGCTGGCACCTGCACATTTAGGGTGTCTTTTTCTCTATATCTTGATTTATATGTGGATTTATACACATAGAAAACAAAATAAGGTGTCAGTGTTATGTAAAAATATATCCCAACTTTTGGGAGTCATTCCTTCCACATTTGTGCCCCTTTATGCAGAAAGAGGTAAACATGCCTTGAGCTGAGTCAAGAGCAGAGCTACTAGTGCATCTTCTCAGCAAGAACTTATTACTTATTAAAAGAATATTATTTGCAATGCAGAAGTTGTTTGATCCTCACTGTGTTAAGGAAATTCTGGGGGTTGCACATTAGTGTGATCCTGCAAGGAAATGAGTGAAATCTACATGAATAGCACTGCATGTCCCAACTTTGCAGAGCCCCTACTTTGAGATCACATTTATTCATGTATGAGTTGCTTCATTTTCCATTGTTGTGATTTGACATTGGCCAAATGCCAGGCACCCATGCAAGTAGTTTGCTTAGCTTTTTTTGCTACAGCTGGGCAAAGAAGTGGGAAAAGATCAAAGGAGGTCTCGTGAGCTGAGACAAGGACTGGGGAAAAAAAACCACTCCAAGGGCAAAATAGGTTCAAATATAAAGACATAAAATAAATTTACTATCAACAGAGACAGAGGAGGACAATGAGAAGCAAAAATAAGCTTTCAAAACCTTTCCCCCCTCCCAGCTCCTCCCTCTTTCTCAATCACAGTGCAGAAAAACAGGTAGTGGAGATCTTCGTCAGTTCATCATTTGAGATCATAATTTCTTTCTTGAGTTAATAATTTCTGTTTGCTCAGAGAGAGAAGTCTTTTTTCTGCTGTATCATGGGGTCCCTCCCACAGGCAAACAGTCATACCACAATTGTTCTGTCATGGGTCATTTGTCCACAGGGTGCAGCTTTTTAACGATAGGCTGTTCTAGTTTAGAAACAAGGGCTCTTTCTATCTCCGGGAGTGGGGGCCCTCTCTCTCCGTTCCGATCTCCCACTACACCACAGCTTTCTCTAACATTCACCTGCTCCTGTGTAAGCACTTTCCCCACTTCCCCAAGCTGAGAGTGGATCTCGGCACCTGCCATGGACTTCATGCATTACAAGGGGACAGTTTGTTTTACCACAGTCCTCAGCTCTGATGCTTGAAGCACTTCCTCCTCCCTCTTTCTTCTCCACTGACTCTGGTGCCACCATGTTGTTCTGCCTCATGTCCTCACTTCCTTCTCTTCTCTGACTAAAAGAAAAACTGTTGCTTACAGGTACCATTGTCAACAAGTTGCAGTGATTCAAAGATTGTTGCAGGATCCTGCAGCACAGAGAAGTTGATCTTATCTAGGTTCCGCATCTGGGAATCGCTTGTCATGCTTCTGCTGTCGGCTGGGTGGTCCCACCACCATTGTGCATGTATTGGCAGCTGTAGTGGTGCTGATGCAATTTAATGTCTCTTCATGTGGGGAAGGAGAAGCTGCTCCACTGCCCCTGCTCTTTTCACTTGCAGTGCAGTTAGTTAGGGGCAGTTAGGCAGTTAGTCCACACCAAGCCCGTGTATTGTTGTGGGCAGTGCCAACGTGGTGTTTCCCCACTTTTGGGGAAAAAACTGCATGTGCCCTGTTCTTTCTTCTTAAATATGTCATCACAGAGGCATTACCAACCTCTCAAATTGGGTCAGCAGTGTGTCCATCTTCAGAGCCATCAGAGATTGGCTCTGTCAGACATGGTGGAAGCTGTGGCTCTCCCTCCACTGTTAAAAGTCAGGCTGAGCCAAATAAGCACACCCCTACAGATCTGCGAGCTTTATACAGCTCAGCCTGTTACTATCTTGTAAGCACTGTCAAAACCAAATCTCTGTAGGTGACTTTGGCCATTGCTTAGTGCTGCTCTTAAGGCCCAGCTTAGCTGTGTTATTCCATGCAGAAAATCTTAGGAGTTCTTTGGGACCATATTTGTGTATATTCAATGTCAAGGTGTGAGACATACCTACAAGATGGACCTTGTCATAGGAGCTTCTCTTCTACAGCCATTCAGTTCTGAAAACCTGTGCATATGACACTACTCTATTTACTGCTGTATATAAGTCTGAAGAAGGCAGATCTTCCAGCTCCTCACAGCAACCCACACTGAGAGGGACTGCTCTGAGCTGTTTGGTCCGCCTAACCCCAAGTGCACATTCTGCTGGTTAGGCAGTGTGAGGCCTTCAAAACAACATTCCCCATGATGATTGGAGCAGGTAACAGAAGTTTAGCACCCTCTAAACACAAGAAGCCAGGAGCATCATCTCTAATGACAAACTAGTTTGTAGTTTTAAATATTTGTAGCACCATTAAACATAATTCTGTCTCTCCTCAGTTTGCCATCAGAAACAAGTTTCGTCATCGAAGCAAGGGATACCCCAAGAGAGAGCACTGGCTGGACTGGGCAAGTGAGAAGTATGATGTAAGTACTGGGAGAGCCTCCTGAGCTGTGACATCTGCTGACCCTCAGCTTCTCTCTGTCTGCTCTGATCCATTGCCTCATGCGCTGGGCAAATAGTTTTGGGCCTCTCCATCATTCATAGCTGACCTGGCCAATCCCTGGTGCTGTCCTGGCATTGTGGGTTATCTCTTCAGCTCCTGTGGGAGAAAGTAGAGCTGTGTTACTGAATGCTCTGTATAATCATGGGTTGTCCAGGGAAATTCAAGGGAGACAAAAAAATACTTTCTCTTGCCAAAAAAATACAGACATTTAAGTTTTTTGGTTAGGAAAATAGCAAGCATTATCTTTCCTTCTCTTTTTCCTGTATCTCATGGCTGCAGAGGGGAAGAGGGAAATGATGCTGCCTGTCAGGATTAATGCACAGAGCCATATTACTTGTCTTGGTATGAAACATCAGAATTATGCTTTGGAATTTCAGTTTAAGTGGGTAAACACTGCATCCCCTCCACACTCGGTACAATTTCTTATCATGACTCTCAAAGCCTTGTATCCCATAGTTCCCAACTTGTCCTTTGCCTACTGTCCTCTCTGCCCTATTGCCAATGGCAGCACAAACCTTTGCCTGTCACCGTTTTTTTCCTTTGCCTGTATGCTTTGTTTGTATGTGAAATTCCTCAGTTGCCTATTGCTCAAATGCCCAGTTCACAAAGAGCTGAATCTCATGCTGCCATCAGTGTACATGTAAAAAGGCCCAAGTCTTTGTGGTATCAGTCACCTTTAACCAGCAGCCCTTCCCACCCACACAAACAGACTTTGTACTGTTTTAGCAGAAATCATCAGAGATAGCCACAACACGCAAAGTTGAATGTGTGGGTAAACATTACATGATGAGTCTTTACCTGTTGCTGTGATGCAAGTAGTGGTCTGAAACTGTCTTCTTTTTTTTCCTTTCTTTTTTGAACCAATTCCTCTTGTGTAATTTTTATTTTCTGCAGAAACGACTGATTGCTCAGATAAAGATGGTGTTGAGGGTGCTTTTCCTTTACATCCCTCTCCCCATGTTCTGGGCAGTTTTTGACCAGCAGGTAAGCAGAAATGGTTTGGCTTGGTAAGTAAAGCTGTACCATGTCAGTCTCTATGGAGTATGGAAAAACAAATTCTTTATCCCTGTTTTATTGCAAAGGGGTAGTCACTGAGTCATGTCAGTACAAGATCATCTGCAGCCAGGGGCAATCTTGGTTTATCTGAGTATACCTAGGCCAGATTCAGTGACCAAGGCCTTTCAGATCTTGTATCAGCCTGGGACTCAAGGGACAAAACAATAATTTAAAGTTTTCTTAGTGCTAATTGCTAAGAAGAACACTAATTGTTTCTTCAATTGTCAGTTGTCAGGTGAAATTTAGGGTCCTTGTGTAAATGAGCTGGAGAACCAGGGTTTAAATGATCTGGATGCCAGTTTGCTTAATCACTCATACCCTGTTATAAATACCTTACACCTTCAAGCAGAAATATAAGCCTCTAATTCCCATTTACTTGGTGGACTGGGTGCTCAAGACTCACAAAAGCATCATTCATAGTTAAGCACTGAAGTATGAATTTAGGAAGATGCTTGAGAGAACCGGGGGTGAAAGCCTTATCCAAGTCAGATGGGAGGAAGTTTAGTCCAGACTCCCCCTATCCTACAGCTTCAGTCCAGTGCCTGTGAGCTGTAGCTGCCAGTGTGACCTGTTGCAATTGGAGCTGTGAATTTCTGCTAGGAAATTCAGAGCTCAGGACTCATTCCATGGGTAATATCTCGGGCAGTGCTGTGTCGTGGGTGGTTGAGGGATCTTGTCACAGATGCAGTAGTAGCGTTCTTGTCTCTTCCTGGGCTCAGGCCTGAAGTCTGACCTGCTTGTCCCAGCCACAGGCAGGTTTCTGGGGCAGAGGGCTCCAGGCAGCTCAGGCCCTGGCTTGTCCTCTGGCTCTGGGCTGTGGGAAGGAAGGATGGGTGTATGGGATGTGTGGGCTGCTGGGCCTCAGGCTGGTGGCAAATGGGCCCGGGGTGGCTCCTGTGCCCAGCACACGGCAGTGCCCTACACAGGATGGTCCTGCCCTCTCTCCAGCTGATTTCTGCACTAAGTTATTTTTGCTGTTTTTTGCTGTTTCACAAAACAAGTAAGTGGAGTGGAATGGGCCATGAGGCTCACTTTGTTCAAAGGTTTGCATTGCAGAGTGAGAATACTCCCATAGCAAGCTAGCTTTACTTTTTCTTGTATTGCATGTCTTTTCCAATACTTGACTTAGAAAAAAAAATTCAAAAGGAACTTTAGAACACTGATTTACTGTGACACCTAATTTTTATTTCTCTTTTTAAGGGGTCAAGATGGACACTGCAAGCCACAGCAATGAATGGGGATTTTGTAGGTTACTTTTTATTCATTTTTTCTTTAATTAACACTTTTCAGACCCATGTTATTGTTGTCATAATATTAAAAAAATATTTCTATTTTTCTTCACCAGGGTTTTCAAATTCAACCAGACCAAATGCAGGTATGTTAATTTTCTATCTGCCAATTTCAAGTGCTTCTGAAAGATTGTATACATATTGCCCTTACTTATAAAAAGCACTTTGAGAAATACTTAATTGTTCTCTCATGTTCATCTTCCCCAGATTGTGAATCCAATCCTGATTGTTGTAATGGTCCCAGTTGTAAATTCTGTGGTTTATCCTTTAATCAAGAAATGCAAGCTGAATTTTACGTAAGTTGATGTAATTATCTGATTTCAACAGAGGCTCATTTTAGTTGTTTCTTCAACTGGCTCTTCCAGCACTAAAGTAAAAAGAGCAAGCATTCAGCTAAGGATGAAAGAAAAGTGTATTAAAAATATTAAAAAAAACCCCAGAATACTGCAAATGTTATGTAGAGGTGTCATAGATTAGAAGAGGAGAATCTAAGAGAAGAGGAACAATGTTTTTCAGTTAAGGACAAAATCTTTTGATTGCAGGAGAGGTGGTCTTGATTGTTTTCCATATCCCTTATGTCTATCCCCTCTCTCTCCTGAAGAAAAGGAGGTAAAAATACAAAATACATCCTCAGCATTTGTCATGTTTTGGGCTAAAAAACAACTGAGGCACAGGACATTTCCTCTTCAGTCTCAGCTGGGAGTCTGGTTTACTGAATCCTTCTAGGTGGAGCTTTGGGGACATTGCACATTGTTTTTCAATGTTGGTAATGAAGTTGCAAGAGTGCTTGGAGAGGCAGGAGAGAATATAGTTCTTCAAATAATTTTCAGTGAGCTAAGGTGCACTGCTGTTATTCCATATAGCTGTTAAAAATCTGGGGTGTGTGCTGTGCTGGGATCACTGCCATTCATTTGTGGATATTCTGTACTGGATAAATGACATATATACTCTCTCTCTATATATATACTCTAAATCTATCTTTATAGCTTAACTGCATGCCAGTAGATGTCTCCTAATTTAACAAATTTCTCTGACCGTTTTTGTTCAATTTTATTTAAACACGGCACTATGGAGACAAGTTGTCACTCTGTTTTTAACAAAGGCATATCTTCTTGTCTGTTTCTTGTTTTACAGCTAACAACTGTGTTGGATTGGGTTTTTTCTTCCTGCAAAACAGATTTTTTTCAGTAACCTAATAATCATGGTCAATGTTTGAGCCTAACAGATGCAGAGTAACAGGTTATTAGGATACTGCAGGAAAAATGCATTTCCTGACAGTGTAACTATGAATTGAGTGGTTCCCAGCTCAGCAGAACACTTTCTGTAATAACATCAGCCCTCCAAATGGTGATAATGTGCCATTTGAGTTTCCCAGGGTGGAAAGAAAAACCAAGCAGCTGAAGCTTTGAATTGGCACTTCTCTTAAATCTCACGTGTCTTTTGTTGTATCAGGCCCCTGAAGAAGATGACTGTGGGGATGTTCCTTGGCTCTATGGCTTTTGTTGCTGCTGCCCTTGTGCAAGTGCAAATAGATGTAAGTTCAGCCACATGCAAGTATTTACAATTAATATTTAGCTGTTAATTCGGGAAAAAAAAGTGTGTTTAAGAGGAAATTGAACCAAGACTTCTAAATTTGCAGCCAATGATATAAACATAGAAGCAGAGGGAGAGGAAATTTATTGCAATACTGTTGTTAGCACAGTAAAATTAACAAACAACAAACACCATTCTGCAAAATATCACACTGCAGTTAATACAAATCATGCATGAAAGGCAACCTCAATCTCTAAACTGAGACTAAAAGCTGGAAACCAGACACTTGCTCGGCCTACCAGAGTGCAGCTTTGTATGTTTGACCTCTTCTGAGATTTAGTCTGGAGGTTGAAGTGTGATAGTCTGGGAAGCATCATCACAGCAGGAGCAAGGATGACACTTGTTGAAGGAAGGATTTGTCTCCCCTAACCTTCCTTGCCCCAAAGGGAGGTGCCATGCCTGAACCCAATGAATCTTTCCCCTGTAGCTGGGATGTTGGCAACACCTCTGGGTGGTGATCCATTGCATCCCAAGATCTGAGCAGCTGTCTAGGTGTGTCTGTTGTGGATGAGAGACTTCTTTCCTAAGGCAACTTGTGAGACTAGTAACAAAACCTGATTCCAGTCTCCTCTGTCAGACAGTTACAGACCAGCAGGCAAATGCTAATTTTCAACATGAAATAATAAAGATTACAGTAATTATAGTAACTTTTCCAAGTGACTTAGGGCACTGATTTTACTTTTTTTTCTGTACTATAGAGGAGCAATCCAGTTTTCCCTGCAGCTGGGCAAGCTCAAATTAAATTAATAAATCTGGGTGCTGTTCCTGCAACAGTTCAATTCCAGCCTCAACTTCAGACTGTGAATGTAACACCTAATGAAGGGGTAAGTAAGGGCAGATGTGCAATATTAAAAAATAATTAAAATTAATTATGCTAAAAAATGTAATGGAGTAAGTCAGAGTCATTCTTAACTAATGGTTCAAAATTGATTATTTTCTAGGACATTTTTACTCCAATAATTTTAATGAGTTCTCTTTTTTTTTTGTATTGTGGAATGAATTGTTAATGAAAACACAGCAACTGAAGAAATAGTAACTATGTTAATATTTGAAGTATTACTACTTTGTTCTGACAAGAATAGGTTTTTTTCCAATAAACTTTCATAAACTTAAGTGACTTGGAACTAGATGAAAATTTCACTCTTGTTAAAAAGGTTCCATTTCCTAAAAGTAGCCCCATCCTGCAGTAAATGTCCATTCAGCTCCCATGAGCTGCTGCTATTACTGTGAGGAATGACTTACCTCAACAGGGAGCTGCTTCTGTGGCCACACCACACATTAGGCTTCATGTTTTGCTGTCAGAGAACTTTTTCAGGTTCTAGTACAGCACAGCATTGGTGGCTCTACTGACAGCAAAATATGGTGGCTCTGATGGATGTTTTTGATAAGGGATCTTAGAAAGTGTGTTCTCTGATAGTCTGCAGTTCTCTTTCCCTTGAAGAGGAGAGATCTTACTCCAACCTCCTCCAAATTTGCCTCACATAGGAACAGCGTTGTGAGGAGAAGATAAGGGCACCCAAACTGTATACTGTCAGGGAATTGATGTACCATGGTACATACCTGAAAATGAAAGGTATAGAATGCTCTATTCCCTATTACAGACACTTTATCATCCAGATGTGGATTATAAAGGGCTTTTGATAATCCTATAAAACAAAGGGCCTATTTTAGTGTGGTACTAACATGTTTACTAATGGTTTAAGTATGTTATGTTGAATAAATGTGGTTTGAATATTTAAAACATATCATTACTGCTTTTTGGAAAATATAGCATCACATCTTATGCTAGTGCTTCTTCTGTGGCTGAATAGAATTTTTCTTGGTGGTTATGGTAAGCCTGATTTATCTGGAGAAAGAAACAGGAAATCAGAAGAGCTATTCCATAGTGCTTGTGGGGAGCTCATGTAACTTTGAACTTGTGTAACCAATTAAAGTAATAAAAAATAATGATCAAATGGAATTAATGCTTGATGTAGAAAACAAATCAAAAATGAAAGTTAGGTGATGTTCATGATCTCTGGCACTTCAGAAGTAACATCTGTAAACTTCTGACTCTCCCAAGAGCCCTCAACATTCCCTCAAAAGTGTAGACAAATATGCAGTTGCACAGAAATCCATTGCAACTTGTCTTTGTAGACTGACTACATGACATTTGAGACTTCTAAGCTGCAATCATTAGACATAATTTCTGCAAATCAAAATAAAACTGAGCATTTGGAGCTGCAGGAGGGACAGCGCTACACTTTGGCATTTAAATGGGTTCCAATGGACATCAATTATACTTGGGTAAGTCTGCTTATTTCTTAAGATATAAATCAATGTTCTGACAGCCATCTGTGTGGAGTGTGTGAAGCTGAGAGGACAAGCTTTGGATAAATTTTTTCCGTTATCTTGTTTTCTGTCTCTCCTTATCTCTGCCGTACCTAGTAAGTCCTAGTAGGACTGGTCAGCTGCAGAGAGTACACCAGGATGTCCTTTAGAAAAAAAATTACCAATGTCTTATGTACCTTGACAACTACACTTTCACCAAGACTTAGGTGTGCAGTCATACAGTGTTTTCTAGTAGATGTGTGTGCTAGTAGGAACCTAAAGTGGAAGTCTTGCTCTGAAGCCTCTGTTAATTCCCTCTGCTGTATAATAGTGCATGTTTAAGCTGTTCTCTGATGCCAATTATATATTTTCATGATGGTCTCTTCCACCAGATAGAGGACAATGTCACATCAAAACCAAAAGATGGAAGAAGTCTTGTCAGGTAGAGTTTTCTTGGTGTCTACATTTTGACAGTAGTGTGACTCTTCAATCTTGGGTCTTTGGGTAGCCTCTTCTTGTTGAAGTAAAGTTTTCTGTACTGTAGGAACTCGTATCTTGCTGGACACAGCACTTAATGTTTTAGGGGATGGGATAACATCTGAGTCCTGATTAACTTAAATTATCTTACACACCTGTTTGGGTGTAATTTAGCTAAAATTGGAAGTGTATGCTTTGTTCCATTGCCTAGATTTTTTATTGCACAAATGGCATGTATTACATATCTATACCTTGTTTTTAATTTTGCATTAGAGGTATCCAAGATTACCTCTCCCCTCTCTGCTTTTCTTTTGCATCTCCCACTTCAGATGGATTACCTACTGGTTGTAGTAGTGGCTTGTTTTTGATGTTCTCCTAAGGCTGATGGGAGTGTAACTGGCTTTTTGTATTAGCTACATTTCTAGGAGATTAAGAGTTTTTTCCAGAATGTTAATAGAATTTTTTAAAAGAAAGGTATTAAATGGGAAGACTTGATACTTGTTGTGCTGCCAATATATAATTAAAAGTAAAACATGTATTCTTTGACTTCTGCTTGTTTTGTGTAGTATTTAATCACTCTTCCATTTTAAAGGTTCATAAACAATTTCAGTTTTACTGTCAATGTTACTATGGATGACATGGTTTTTGGAGAACTGGATCCTCTTTCTGTCACAAATTACACCGTCATTCCAAATCCAGGCTGGTAAGCATTTTCCTTTATCCTGATTTAATCTCCTAGGCCTACCTGTCCTTGGGAAAAGGGCTCAGAGCTTTTTTAAATATGTGATGCACACAATTGACTATACCTATGGTCTGAACTGTGGGTTTTGGGTTTTTCTTTTTCAGGTCATATACAATTAGGGCTTCAATGCCTCAATACACTTGTACAGTTGGTTCAAAGGAATTTGGATATGGTGGTGTCTATACCATTTCACTTGATGATGTGAGTTGCCACTGCTGTTGGATGGACAATATAGAATTCCTTTCCATGTTGATACTTCAATTAAAAAAACACTTGTAGAATTATTCCTCTTGTCTTTAATCCTTAAATTTCCTCTGGTCTACCATATACAAGTATATATGATAGAATTCTGGTATCCTAAACAGGACAATAAGCCATTATTAACTATAAAAATAATTATGGTTATGATAATACATAATCCAAGAATTCATGATCACCATTAATGGCCTTAAACCTTTAGCCCTGTTAGACACTACGGATTTGCATGAAGTGGGCTGTAAAAAAGCTATACTTTATAACTAGGTATGCAGTGCTTCATGTGCAATATTTGTTATTTACTCTGAACTTTCTGTATGATTATAGAACTTCTTAGAATGCCTTAACTGTGCACACTCATTATTACTGTTCCTAACATGCTGTTTTAATTTCCAGTGTGTTGAAAAGAAACTTATCATTACACACTTTGAAGATATTGCACCAAATACAGTCCATATGGCTTGGCAGATCCCTCAGTATTTTCTTCTTACATGTGCAGAAGTGCTGTTCTCTGTCACTGGACTGGAGTTTTCATACTCACAGGTATTCTTTTTCCTGAGCTAAGAATCTTGGTGTGAGTTAAGATTTTCTATGATGTATTGTTTTTAAGTGGTGGTTCTGTGCTGCTGCTTAGATCCCTGTGTCCCTCACAGCTCCTAGAAGGACTGTATAGGCTGATGCAAGTTGGCCCTGTTTCAAATAGGATTTGGTGTTTTCCATGAAGCTATGCTGAGTTATATCATTTGAAGACTTGACTACCAGTCCTCAAATTTCCTTCCCCCATGTAACTATGACAACTGACAACTATCCATTGAAAATAAGTGCAACTGTACTGCTGCAATAAAACTGAACTGGAGAGGTCTCAAACATAAAATGAGGAAGTAGTGGCACTTCATCTCCACAGCATTTACACCATACAGCCTTTTCATTGGCCTTTTATTAGTTATACACTTTTAGTGTATACACTTTAATTTATTAGTTATACACTTTTAATTCCTTTGTCTCCTGACTCCACTTTAGTAGCTGTGTGTATTTCTTCTCTTAAGTCTGAATCTAGAAACTGCAGTGATGGAAATGTTGTCAGCTGTGATTTGCTAGGTGATGCACTGAATTTCTTCATGTCATGTGTGCCATGTGTTCCTGAGATGTAAAATTACACCTGTGTACCTGTTACTTACTTGGTGTGTGTAAGTAAAAAGTGTTATAGTTAGTGTGCTTGTGGTCTCTTGCTCCTCAAAGACTTCTCCAGACCTGTTTAGCTCTCTAGCAATTTTTAATGTCAAAAAAAAATTTAAAAAAAGCCCCAACCACCACCAAAACCTAGCAAACCATGACATCCTCTTCCCCCCAGAGAAAGTGTTTATTATAAGGTAAAGATTACAGTGAATGCATCAGAAAATAAATTATACCACCCAAACTTAAATGTGTGTCTCCACAGGCCCCGTCTAACATGTACATCCTCTTCCCCCAGAGAAACAGTGTTTATTGTAAGGTAAAGATTGCAGTAAATGCATCAGAAAATAAATGACACTACCAGAAGTTAAATGTGTGTCTCCACAGGCCCCGTCTAACATGAAGTCAGTGCTGCAGGCAGGATGGCTGCTGACTGTGGCTGTTGGTAACATAATTGTCCTTATTGTGGCTGGGGTATCTGCAATCCAACAGCAGGTAAGCATGCAAGCAGTAGGTGTGCTATTATATTACACTGGGAGAAAGCAGTTCCAATCCAGTAGGAAATGATGGCAGATAAATAGTTTTCTGCAAAGATTTCTACTTACCTATTACTTAACTCTCGTTGGCAGGCTCCTTTGCTTGCAAGCAGCAGTTTCTAGCATCTCTGCAGTAAATTTCTTCTCATGGTATAGAAAGTCTGTGAACTTTTGAGCTGAAATTCTGCGTGAATGGTATAAAACCTACCAAAGTTCTGTTAATTGCTAATGAGCCTTCACCTGCATACCACAGCCTTGCCACATCCCTTCTTCTGGCTTCATTGTTTTCAAATCTCATTATATGTGGCATAAAAACTATGTCTGTCCTGGTGAAGAGCAGTTGTAGAAGATTTTCTGTTTATTAGTGGTGCTCTGTAATGAATTAAAATGGATATCTGAGAGAAGGAAGAGCTTTTCTCTGAAACTGGCAGTTGCCAGTTTAAGCTAAATTAAATCAGAAAGAGCATGAAACAGTGATTTTGAGGCTTTTCAGGTAGAGTTTCTGATCTCTGCCCACGTTTGTATTCACTAATTCAGCTGTGAAAATCTTTAAGTGGAAGCAGAATCAGTGCCCACCTGGTTTAGAGATCTGACCAAAAAGAAGGGGCTGAGTTTCCTTCTCAGTCTTTCATTCAGTTCCCAGTTCCTCCAGGAAAAGGATGTTGCAGAATTTTTTAGCATTCGCAGAATTTTTATCTTTTTAGTGAAGATAGAAATGCTGGAAGAGCCTCAATTCTGGGTTGCTTTAATACGTATTATACGCTTAATTAATACTTAGTCCTGTAAGCCATATGATACTTGTTATGTACACTCAGTTTCACATTTTGAGTTTCCTTCCTGAAGATACTAAAATAGTGTAATACTGAAATAAATATTGGTGAATAAATTCTCTCTTTTTTTTTTTCTTCTTTGCAGTGGGCAGAGTATGTGCTGTTTGCTGCCCTGCTGTTGGTAGTTTGCGTCATTTTTGCTATCATGGCTTCTTTTTATACCTATATTGATCCCAATGAGATTGAAGCTCAGTTCAGCAAGGAAGAAAAGGAAGAAGACAAGAAGGATCAAGACAGCAATGAAAAGAAAACTGAAAATGATTCTCGACTGTAAAAGCTGTATTCAAGGAGTGTTTGTAAATCATGGAATCAAGGAAATCCCACTCATTCTCCTGCAGTCAGAGGAATCAGGGTATCAGTAATAACACCTCTGGTTTACATGCCTTGTGGAAGACATTAAGCAAAACTGGTTTAACTTAAAGTGCAGCCTCTCTAGGGAAGCAACAGGAAAATATTGTTCTCTCTTGTACTGAATGTGGTGTCCTGAAGAAACTCCAGCAGAAGTTGCACTCTTAATGTACCTCAATCTTATATATTATAGCATTATAATATTGAAATTAGACTTGGAAGTTTTGGACCCTTTGAAAAGATGTATTTTTATACTGTATTTCAATTTTATATTGTGAAAGAAACAAGACTTTTTCAAGGAACAGCAATTGAAGCCAAGCTCTCTGCCTGATCTCTAGCATCACTGTTACTTGAAAACAGCAGGTCACACGTGCCTTAAATTCTTTTGTACTTCCTTGTAGATAATGGGAGCAAAGCTCTGGCAGTGATCAGATTAAAATGTTGTCCGTGTTCCAAGTGGCAGGAACTTGGATGTGCACTGTAATATAATGCTTTATCTGCCTGTTAACTACCCATTTAACTCCTGTTATGTCTTTAGTTAATATTAGAAGTGCCCACTCAGGTAAAATGATAACAGCAAATGACCTTTGGAACAAGCAAGAGCAATAAAACTTACATAAAAACAAAATAAGGAAAGTGTTTTAAGAACATGGCTTACAGTTGTATGGTAACAAAACTCAATACCACCTCCGTGGTGCCCTGATCTACACTCTCCATCACTTAAAGCTAACGGATCAGTGCTGCTCTTCTCTATGTGAATCTACCAGAACACTTGTCAAATTTATGCTAGGGGAGATGAAATTTTGCTGCTTAACAGGACCTGCTCCCGTAGTCCTGAGCTCCATGTAATGGAGTGCCAGGGGTCTGCATGTTGTTTTGGTAATTCTCCTTCTTTAGGGTCTACATCCTTCACTTTTCCAGCACCTTGGGCTCACTGGCCCCTCCAGTAGCCTGCCCAGACTTTCAGCTGCTTTCTCACCTGCCTTGCAATACTCTTATCCTATTTTACAGCAATTCCATTTTGGTGTTGGCAAGTGATGGCACAGACATCCACATTCAAGCCATGGCTGTTCTGCTCACACTGCAGGTCCATGGGTCCCTGTGCTCGCTGTTCCCACTGCAGCTGCTGCACCTAGGCACTGAGAATAGAGTCCCTCACCCATGGAGACAGTTTCAAATGGAGTTTGAAAAGGCAAGTCCAAGGCACTCTTTGTTTGTGTCAGAGATAGTCCTGTTACCCCCGAGGCAGCAATCCCCTCCTGGTCTCTTGGGTCATCTGGGGGGAACCTTTCCCATGGATTTATGATACTGCATGTTCCCCAGCCAATGGAACTGAGGGTCTACTGTAACAGCCACAGGAGCAACTGGCTCCCTGCCATCCTCTGAGGATTTAAGGGAATTTTATACCAGCTTTATTTATGGCCAAGTAGCCAGCTTTTCCTCTGCCACGCAAGTTAAGCAAAATAAATTATCTCCTAACTGTATCCAATAGAGTAGCATCTTCTGCCTACTACTCTACCCATGCCAGGTGAATTGTTTGTCATTTTAACACTACCTACTTTTTCCTTTGGAATACAGGTCATGTGTCTAGTTTTTATACCATAAAAGCTAAAACCATAAGCTTTTGTATTTTAGTGCTTTAGTAAACCCACTGTTTTCTACAACACGATGGATGTGGTTAATGTTTAGAAAGCCAAATAATACTGTAAAATTAGATAGGGAACCTTTCTGATGAGGTGAAAGTGACCCGTAAGGTAGAATGGAGACAGTTGTGTGTGACAAGATTTTAATCTCATTTTCAACAGGGACTTTAATTACTTAAGTTAAAATATCTCTGTGCCTAGCCAGGTAGTTCCTTGTCAGCATTGCTGTGACTGTGTTTAGAAGCTGTGTGTGGAGAATCGGTCTTTGGGCTGAAATGGAATGTTTTCAGTTCCTTAGTTTTAAGCATTGAAGATGTACAGTTAACCTCTAAATGTGACAGTGTTGAGTTTAGCATGCTGCTGTCTAGCCTATCAGACTTGCTGAGAGGGGCTTTTGCGTATAATGTTCTGTTACAGAGAAGATGCCCTGAACTGAATCAAATTAACAGTTGATCATTCTAAACTAACAATGTGCAAGAGTAATGAATTATGACACCCTGCTCTAGCAATTCAATCTACACTCATGCATGGCCAGGTAGATACAGGAATGTGTATGTTTGTATGCTTAATAATATTACAGATATACTGTAAAGGTTCTGTTTTTTCCATATTCCCTCTTGGCTCAGCCTAAAGACACTTGACTTAAAATAGTTCAATATCATATTCTCTGCACCATGTGAATCCATCTTCTGCCATTTGCTGGTCTTAAAAATTGCTTTATTAGCAGCATAATCTTTGGAAAAACTTGACAAATGTCTATACAAAGTTGCTGGGTTTCTTAAAATTTCCTGGAAGCAATTGCAAGCCACCTATACATACTCAACACCTTGCTTTTGCCTCCTTCTTTCACAGCTTGATGTAGTACTTTAGCATAATATTCACTGACCATCGTGGTAATAAAACAACTGGGTCTTCCCTTAAAATGTGAAAGGGAGACAAATTAGCAAAGGGGAAGTAACAAGTAAAATCATCCTACTCCACCAAGAAGAGGTTCAGAAAAATCAAAGATGCCCTATTTCCCCCTAATTCAATCAATGCTGTTCTTCCTACAGCCACCATGCATCACCTGGGCTGCTGGCTCATGTTCAGCCGGCTCTTGACCAGCACCCCGAGGTACTTTTCTGCTGGGAACTTTTCCAGCCCCTTGTCCCCAGCCTGTAGCACTACAGGTGGTTGTGACCCAAGGGCAGGACCCATCACTTGGTCTTTTTGAGCCTCGTAGCATTGGCCACTGCCCATGGATCCCTGCTCTCCAGATGCCTCTGCAGAGCCTTCCTACTCTACCCAGACTGAGACTCCCATCCAGCTTGGTGTCCCCTGCAAACTGACTGAGGGAGAATTTGATCCCCTTGTCAAGGCTATCTGTAAAGACATTAAACAGGACTGTTCCCTGTACAATGGAGGTAACTCCATCCACTACCACTCCTGACAATGAGTGCACCTGTCCAAGCTGTGGCCTCCCAGCTTTTCCAGTAGAATTCTGTGGGAGACAGTGACAGAGGCTTTACTGAATTCTAGGTAGACAACACCCCCAGCCTTTCCCTCATCCACTGGGCAGATCACCTTGTCAGAAGGAAAGCAGGTTGGTCAAGCAGGACCTGCCTTTCCTAAAGCTCTGCTGACTGGGCCTGATCCCCTGCACGTGCTGTGTGATCACACTCAAGATAATCTGTTCCATAACCTGCCTTAAGCACTGAGGTCAGGCTGACAGGCTGCTGGAATCCTCCTTCTGACCTTTCTTGCAGATGGGTGTCACACTGGCTAGCCAGCAACTACTTCCTAATTATTGCAGGTGCTAATCAGACAGCTTTGCTTTTGGTGGCAGATGTACTGGGATGAAAGGGCTGGTTTTCCCTTCAATGCCAAAATGGCCGTAAGACCTTCTGAAACACACATAAGGAGAATATCTGCAGTGGAAGTGGCTCTGTCTCTGTAACACTATTGCTGTATTTTGGGGGGGAGGGGAATTAAAATTCGAAACTGTGGAAGATGCATAATTAAATAATGAATAAAAATTATCCAAGTGCTAAGCACGAAATATTGAGGCACTGTGACATCATGGTTCTCAACCTGCTGTTGCAATCCCTCATTTGACCTGCTGCCTCTGTAAGTGGCAATAAAACTCTCATGAGATTAAGATGAAATTTCAGCTGTCTGCTCATGTGAAATTATGTTTATCCTCCTCCTGTGAGATTCATAGGACTGCAATGTATCTTCCTGGCTGAGCTTCTTTCCATCTTAGCCCATAAAGGGCTTTTAAAAAAATTCCAAGTCCTTTCCCAGCTGGGAAAAAAATATTTTATTTAAGCCTTGCAAACATAAAATAAATAAATAAATAAATTTATTTTAAAAAATCAATGCTCCCAGAGCCATACCATCCTTCCTTTTGGTAGTGAAAATTTGAAATATTTTCTACTTAGGTGGGAGTTCTATTTCCTAAAGGTCTCACTGTACAAAAAAATATTTCAAGTAAAGGTTAACTCAATTTTTTCAGCTCCTTTAGGCTGGTACTTTAGTTCAACAGAGTGCCTGAGGCCAGGTCTGTAACCACCTAAGTGAATTCATGATATTGAATTCATTTTTAGTGAAATCTGATCCCAAACGTGGGAGGATGGAAGTAGAACACTGCTACACAAGTGTACTCACATTATAGCCGTGGATGTCCCAGGGTGGCAGGGCCTGGCTGAGTGCTGAAACTGGATGGGGAGACTTTGTTTAAGAAACTGAGCATGGAAATTGGGAAGGGTGGGAAGGGAGAACCTCCAGAATCTCTACATCTTCCCCTTCTGTCTTGCAGGGAGCAGGAATATGACACTAATGGTATTCTCTGTTGCTGCAGAGCAAGGTGTTATTGTCACAGACCATCTCTTCTCCCCATTTAGGACCAGGCTGTGGTCACTCACCAACACATTCCTGATTGAGTTATGGAAACCAGGGCTGGGGCTTGGCATCTTTTGATTGGCTGTTTTTCAGTTTTAGGTGTTTATTTCACGCATCCATTGCAAGTGTGACTCATGATTTCCCCACTGCAGCCTCACAGCACCCACAGCACACAAGTGATGAACCCAGCTCCCTCTCTGACTTGCTGCCGCGCCTGTTGTAGGGGGCAGACCCAAGATGCTGTCCTCTGACACCCATTTCCAGCTCAGAGAGCTTGGCAGAACCAGGAGGAATTAGAGAAGCCCAGAGCCATTTCCCACCTGCCTTGAGGCAGCTTGTTTAACAGGAAGGATTTATTTACTTTTTCCGGTTTGGGCTTTTTGCAGTGGAACGCCAGTCTGTTAACACAGACTCTAGGTAATATTGGTAGGTATAAAATACACGACATTGCCCTACCTTTATTTAACCTTTCTTTCTTTGCCAATTCTAGGCCCCTTCCTCAGGCAAAGCTTTCTTAATTGTAGCCCGGGGTCCCTTACCAGAACCTCAATTTCCACCACCAGGTGGCAGAAAAGTACTCTACAGTGCAGGGAAGGGGACGGAGAGGCACACCCAGAAAACCCCCCGACATAATTAACTTAATCACTCTTCACTCGCAGGTATCACAAGCTTCAGATTACCCTATGAAAATATCTAGATTGCTATTGTATCATATGAGACACATAGATCAGTATTGCTTTTGAAGACCACAGGGCTGCTGTGTGTTTAGAAAAATAAAAATATTTGGGTGGATTTTAGCAAGAGAGAGTCTCTGGCAGCATTGGTGGAAATTGCCTCTCTTATAAACTTTTAAAAACTTGTTAAAATTGCCAAAATACCACATAGTATTACAAAAAAGAGACTTTGATATTGAAGAATAGTAAAGAACATGAATAAAGCTGATTGTGCTGCAACACCCAACACTCACCCCAAAAGGTGATAAAATCCCTCGCTACAGCTTCATGTTGTGCTTAATTCAATTTAACTGCAGGACTCAAACCCCAGGCATGAAAGTCTGCCCCAACAATGACACAAGAAAGTTTAGGGGGCTTTTTGTAACTGAGCAAAATGTCAGTCAGACAAAGCAATATTGCCTTCTGTGGGCACAGCAGACTAATCCCCAGAAAAAACCACCACCCTGTTAAACAGAGGGATGTGTAGCATTAGCACTTCAGCATTAAGTGGATACAAATTTGGGCTGAATTGGACTGCTTTTGGTTCTGACAGATTGAGTATGCACTGATTTCAGAATCCTGCCTCCTGGATGATTTCCCAGACTGTTAATCTGTAGTACAACTACTTAGCCCACCCTGTCTTTAACAAGAAAGCCATAATCTCTGCATTTGATAGGGACCCCAGCTCTCCAAGATGGTTCTTGGTGAGGCCATGCCAGCTAGACACTGTCCATTAAGGGAGTTTGTTGGAAGAGCACCTCATTCCTAAATAACATTCAGTTTTAGACATCTCCTAAGCATTGCACTTTTCATCCTGGCATCTTGTCAGTTGTGTAGAGATGCAGATTTTAGAGCTATCCTGCAAACTTTAGAGTTAAACTCGAACATGCTACGAAAAGAGATTTGGTTATAGTCCTTGAGAGGACAACAAGGAACATCCATAGCCTATGGAGTTACGGCTGCTACTGCCATAAAGGTTGAGAGAATTGTGATCAGCCCCTGGATGGACCCTCAGGCAACTGGACCTGGGGAGATGGTCAAAGCAGAAGGGATTTGCAGTGAATTGTAACTTGGATGGGAGAGCTTTGGGAGGCAGGACTGCTCAGGGGAGATTTACATTACCCAAACATCACATACTTGACATAATTTGGGAAGGGCTCATGTGGGCACTTGAGATGCGCACTGACAAAGGTTTGGGACGGGAGGAGTTAG